AAATTTTGAACAGGCAAATGGACAAGTGACATGAACACGGTGGACTGGCGTGTCTATACACATCTGTACACAGTATGTTGTGATACTGGGTTGGTTAATGTGGACCAGAATTATCCAGAACAGCACCTTTGATTAATTGGTAACAAAATTTCATTAAGCTAGCTAACCTAGCTTAATACATAGTACTGTAAAGAGAGTTCATTTTTTGAGTGCTGCTGTCTGGCATTGTTTCCAGTTGATGTCATGGAGATACTTGCATAGTACTAAGTATGACAACCCATGTTTTTCTTTTGTTTTTGTTTTTTTTGTCACTGTGATTTCATGATTTCATGTCAATAAAGTTGTACTTGTGGAACTTTGTCCTTTAGCTGAGGGCTTTGGCTAACACTAGATCAGCAAGCATATCTGAGAAACATTTAAATTGGCAGGTAACTATAAATTTTTCAAACAACTCAACAAATACTTCTAAACACCAAATGTTTCTGTGCAGTCTGGACCACAGTGTGTCTGCAAACACTGTATTTCCCAGGGAGAAAACAAAACAACAATGTGTGATCAGTTTAGTCTAAGAGATGGAGAAAGACGTCAGTAAGAGAGGACAGGAGAGGAAGAAGAGATTATTTTCAAGATAAAAACAGCACAGTGACATTTGATAAGTCAGACAGCGTCTATGATGTTTTGCAGAAGTTATATTTTTTTACATTCTGAAAAAACTTGAAAGATAAATTGAAGGGTCCTTGAGTACTCCTTGATGGAGGCTAAATTAATTTGTTTGCAGTACTGTGTAAGGTTTACAATGCTGGGTTGGACTGGTGCAGAGCAGGCTGTGGTGTTCATGGTCAATGTTATGTTATATTGAAAGCAGCAGACATTTAAGTTTGATCTGATTGGGCTGCTTATATATGTCAGTTAATTCAATTTAATCTACAAGAAGCAGGAGACTTTAGAGCAGCAGCATCCAAGGTCAGCTGATCACATCCTGTATGCAAAGAAAACAAATCTACTTGGAGTTCACTATGCAAATTTGCATTTTTATTTCCTGTGTGATTCTTTTCCCTGTGCTGCACCAACACATGGCTATAGCAGATCTTAGGATTCTCCCTGGCAAATGCCACTTTAACCCCTGCTTATATATGGCAGCCATGCCTGGATAAGCTAATGATAAGTTGGGCCATGAAAAATTATTCTTCAGTCTGAAGTGATATGTGGGGAAAATTATCTTGTTCTGTTTTTAACATATAAGAGTTTATGTAAAGATAACAAAATTATATGATAAAAAAAATATCTCCTAAAAAAGTGACTTTCTTTTCAGTTTCCTTTGGCCTTCATATTTGTCAGACTTTATTTTTCATTTTCTTTAAAAGATTCATTAAAATCTTGTGGGCAGTTGAATCACTTTTATCAACTTCATTCAAAAAAATAAAATAAAAATGCACACATAACATATAATTTTCCTTTCAGAAATTTCTCTTGAGGTTTCCAGAGTTTCTTCACATTCTTTAAATTCATCAAGCTCCTTGCTTGAAAGAGGTCTCTCCAAAAACATTTGTCCGATTTACCACAAATCATTACCAGGCAATGTTCTCTCTCCTTGCTCCCTGGGGGCTCGATCTAGCTGTCAGGGGGAGGAGGCACTCTTCCAAGAGGACCTTTCAAGTGCTACAAGCTCCAATTTATCAGGACAAGATAATCCACTACTTGATTAGGTGGGAGATGTCACCCTGTGTGTGTGAGTGCGTGTGGAAGTGAGTGTGGCGATGTGGTGAGGAAACAGGGACAGGAGCGGGTCTCTGATGTAAGACAGTCTAATGAAGCGGCGAGGCAGAGATCGAGTAAGTTAGAGTGAGAAACAGCTCTATTCACCTAATAAGCTTTGCAAGTTTTTCCTCGTCCTCCAAGGCAAGGTGACAATGAAACAGGGCTCTGTCAGGCCTTCTGACTTTTGGAGGGACCCATTAATATCCTGTCTGGGCTATCCCCTACAGGCTTCTCCCAGTACTGGACAGCGGTGACAGAGGAAGGCAGGCTGGCAGTGGAAAATTCCACTTGGGTTTTATTATACCGACTTAATGGCGGAAGGTTAGGTGTGGCATTAACTGCAGCATCTGGTGCACCGTGCAGCCACAGACAGATGTGTAATAAGTCACATGTGACAGTTATGCATGATTAGGGGGTGGGGGAAGTCTCTAAAAACATACTTGGCATGCAGAATAGTTGTGTTTGTATGGCTTGGAAGAAAATTTGGATTTATTGTTGTAGATTTTCCCACTGTTTCTAACATAGCAACTAAACTATTTATGCTATTTCCTATTAAATTATGTTTTTAGTTATAATGAATGCTGCTGTTGACATCATACTATGCATTCTTACACTGAGTCATTATCTACTTGCTTTCCTGCAGAATTTAGTTTTGTAATTAGCTCATTGTAGTAAATAGACTCCATCAGACGTGAATGTCATTCTGAACCGAATTCGACACATCAGTCAAGTAAAGACATATTATCAGCAGGATTTTGTACTGAATCTCATCCACGCTACGTCACTTTTTAAACCTTTCACATTGACATTACCTTATAGCCAATCCTTTCTCCTTTTTTCTAAGTGCTCACATAAATAATAATGAATTAATTTGAATTGAATCTATGTAGATATGAGGGTGAAGTGTTCAGCACGGTGGATCTCCAGACACTATGGTGGTCTGGACACTAGAAAAGACCTGAGCATAGACTTCTTGGATGGTCTGTTAGCAAAATTAAGTATGAAGCAAGCCATCATGACTAATCAGTGACTCAAGTCAACTTAGATGAATTGTGTGGCTCATTGCGACCACCCAGTAACAATGGTTATATTTGAGTGTTAGTGGAGATCAAACAGCTATAGAGACCAAAAATGCTGGTTGGCTGTGAATTTGTTCATTTCTGGCATCTGCTCAGTAATGAACTCTGGCTTTGGCACTTTTACATTGGAGTTTGAGGTTTTTGGGGGTGTTTTTCAGCCCCAAAGCTGCCAGTTGATCTTCCCTAGTGTACCAAAATGGATAGAGCAGGATTTGGCTTTAATACGTCTGAAGAAGCAAATTTCTCATGAATGCCCATCAGCTTATAGTATGCCATGCTATACAAAGTTGAAAGGCACTTGTTTTGGGGTCACATCTGTGACTTACTTGCTTAGGCCAGTGGCTGAAGTAAACAGTCTTAGGATGTCTCTGTGGGAGCAACTATATCATCTCTGAGGTCAACCCTATTTATTCCTTTAAGTCTAAATAATGCTGATCCAATGATCAGCTATTACTGTAACATCCAAACACACACACACCCAGGCTACTCACACAAAGTGCCGGTACATCACAGTAATCAGACAAAGATGTATCCCTATCGATCCCTGTGGCCGTGCAGCTGAAAATCTGCTGCATGTAGCACCTTGCAGCCCTGACCAGTGGTCCTGCGATCCCCTGAACACGCAGGTTAAAAACCTTTCATTACTGTCTCCTCCGCTTCTCGCCTAACGACAAAATACTGCCTTTATGAAGATCAATAACCACACTGGTCTGCCAGAGAAGAGCAAGGAGATAAAATGCTGAGTATACGCCTTTATGAAGATCAATACTAGATTTCTGTGTTTTACTGTGGGGTAGTGCTAAGGCCTTTACTAGTGAATTAATGGTTTGGCACGCGTTTAACCATCTGACAGGACCCGGCACGACAACAGCAGCATTTTTGTAATTACAAAAGATGTTTCTATTAATCCCAGTGTGATGATAAGTGGCCAAGATGGGGGGCAGCCAGCGCAGATTACAAAGCCAGCGCTGAGATAGCAAGAGCGGAAAGGTCATGCCAAATTGGCACTAATAGAGATGCAGTCAACCCACCCAAAACACACTGGATTATTAGCACTGTGATGCAGTGATATAGTGTGAGAGAGCAGTGGTGTGCATGTGAGTGTGTTTGTGTTTGCAGGTGGGTGTTCATTTACCACCAAGTATGTGGTTGTGGGTGGATAATATCAGGAAGCT